CTGGAGCTGCTGAGGGGGTTGGAGCTGGAGGTGCTGAGCGGCTGCGGCCGTACTACGTTCCGCTCCTTCAGCAGGTTCTTGGTCTCCCGCCCTCTCCTGGTCCTACTCCTCCTCCCCTACTGAGTCCACCACCTGTCCCGTCGCAGTCACAGTTACAGCCTGCCTCTACACTGCCTGGTCCTTCTCCTTACACTGCGCCGACAGGTAGCTTTACGGAGCATCGTGAGCCTGAGTCTCGTCCTCCGTCGCCTGAGTCCAGTCCTGCGTCTTCTGAGTCTCGTCCAGAGTCGCCTGTCCGCACTGCCCGCACTGGTCGTCGTGCTCCTCGTCAGCGTCCTCCTCCTGTCCTTGGCACTCACTATATGACCCTGCGTCCTTCCACTGCTCCACAACGCGTCCCTCTGCCGTCTCCTCCTGCGTCCTCTCTTGCTGACGTTGCCGACCTGCCGTCAGACCTTACTCGTGCTACCAGTCCTACTGTCGCGCGTCTCCTTGCCACTGTTGTCACTGACCCTACCTTTGAGTCCTCTGCTGCGTCTGCTCTGGTCGCTGAGCTTGTTGACTTTGCTGCAGCCTGTCGTCTAGACTACGCCGCTAGCCTTGTTGCTGAGTCTGAGTCTGAGTCTGTCTGTCCTCCGTCCGTCGGGGGTGAGTGTGCTCTTGGCACGGACGTCCTTGAGGACAGACAGGAGGAGTTTGAGTGCTTTGCTGCTGCTTTACCTCATCTCGTGTCCATGCTGATTGCCCCTGAGGGAGACCCGGATGCACCAGACATCCCGACCCCACGCTCCTACGCAGAGGCGATGGAGGGTCTCTACTCCTCTCAGTGGCAAACAGCCATGGACGCAGAGATGGCTTCCTGGAAGTCCACAGGCACCTACGTCGACGAGGTTCCCCCACCTGGGGCGAACATCGTCAGTGGCATGTGGATTTTCAGGGTGAAGCGGCCGCCGGGTTCTCCGCCTGTCTTCAAGGCGCGTTACGTTGCACGAGGCTGCAGTCAGCGAGAGGGAGTTGACTTCTTCCAGACCTTCTCCCCGACCCCGAAGATGACCACTCTTCGGGTTCTGCTGCACGTGGCCGCTCAGCGTGACTACGAGCTCCACTGCCTTGACTTCAGCACTGCGTTCCTACAGGGCACCCTGCACGAGGAGATCTGGCTGCGCCGCCCACCTGGCTTCACTGGGTCGTTCCCTCCTGGTACCCAGTGGAGCCTCCGGCGGCCGGTCTACGGTCTCCGCCAGGCGCCCCGTGAGTGGCACGACACACTGAGGACTACTCTTGCTGCTCTTGGGTTTGCTCCTTCTACTGCTGACCCGTCGCTGTTTCTACGCACCGACACCACTCTGCCGCCGTTCTACGTTCTCGTGTACGTAGACGACTTGGTCTTTGCTACTGCTGACACTGAGGCACTCGCCCACGTGAAGTCGGAGCTGCAGAAGAGACACACGTGCACAGACCTGGGTGAGCTGACAAGCTATCTTGGCTTGCGGATCACCCGGGACACAGCACAGCGCACCATCACCTTGACTCAGTCACACATGTTGCAGCAGGTCCTTCAGTGCTTCCGCTTCACGTACTCCTTGCCTCAGCCCACTCCTCTGCCTACCGGTCACTCGCTCTCAGCTCTGCCTTCGGATGAGTCCGTAGAGCCGAGTGGCCCGTATCCAGAGCTTGTGGGCTGCCTCATGTACCTGATGACCTGCACTCGACCTGACCTAGCCTACCCTCTTAGCATCCTAGCACGCTATGTCGCTCCTGGCCGTCACCGGAAGGAGCACATGGATGCCGCTAAGAGGGTGTTGCGCTACTTGTGCAGTACGTCGGGCATGGGGCTTGTGCTTGGAGGACGGCGCGACGTTGTCCTCACTGGACACTCAGACTCTTCTTGGGCTGACGACCAGGCTACGCAGCGGTCGTCTCAGGGTTTCACCTTCAGCCTTGGCTCTGGCTCTGTTTCCTGGCGTTCTACACGCTCTTCCTCTGTTCTCAGCTCCAGTTGTGAGGCTGAGATCTACGCCACAGCCATGGCTGCCCAGGAGCTACGCTGGCTCACCTACCTGCTGACCGACCTCGGAGAGCGGCCTCGTTCTCCTCCAGTGCTGTACGTCGACAACAAGGCAGCCATTGCCTTGTGTGAGGAGCACAGACTGGAGCACAGAACGAAGCACATCGCTCTGCGCTACTTCCTTGCTCGAGAGGTGCAGCAGCGTGGTCAGCTTCGTCTCTCGTACGTGGCCACTCGGGCCAACACTGCTGATGTGTTCACCAAGGCGCTTCAGCCTTGTGATCATCAGCGTTTCTGTACTGTTCTAGGCCTTGTGCCTACTCTCCCTCACTTGCTCACTTCTTGACTCTGCTTGTACTGTGATCTCTATATATATACCTGCATGCTTACACTTGCTAGGTTGTGATCACTGTACCTCTTGTTGTATTATCAAACTGCATGTGAACTGGTCTTGTGACCACTTGCTTGTGCTCGGAATTTGTGTGGTATCCTTGAGATCCACCCTGAGCTTTGCTTTGCTTTGCTTTGACTGGTCTTGTGACCCTCTGGTTGTCTCCCACTTCGCCTATGGGGGTGTGTCAAACATTGTATGTTTACATTGTGTAGGCTACACAAACTTAGGGTTTCCTACTTGTACCCAACTTTCTGCTAGTTCAATCATTCCTGTTTCATTCTTTCTGACAGGGGTTTCGCTAGGGCTGGGCACGGGGGGGGCCCGGGGTTGGGACCACACTGCGTGGCGCTGGCGTGGCCCGGGCTCGGCGTGGGACCACCCCGCCAGCTGACTCCGCCGCCCGTATCTCGCTAGGGACTTGCATGCGGGCGGGGAACTCCCTCTCGCGTGCAATTCCCAGCTGGGGGTCGCGACACACCAGGCATCCGCGTGCGGCCCTGGTGGAAACTCGTTTCCACCAGGAGGGGGACCTGGTGGGTTCTCTCCCACCAGGGCCCGGATGGACTGTAACTGTTGTATGGACTCTCACTGCGACCTTATTAGTCTTCAAGCACTTTCGTTACCATGGCGTCTTAGGTCGTGTCATGCTTGGTGAACTTTCGGTTCATTTTCAGCGGTTCACTACGATATTGTGCTTTCTAAAGCGGTTTGTACTCTTCACCGCTCTGAACCGCTACATACTAGCCTTAACATTGATTCATGAGCTGTAAGCTCCCTCTCCATGACACGCCCTTATGAACTAGCCAGAATGGCTGCCGCATCACCGTTCGAACCGCTGACGGACGAACTTCTCTCCATTATCCTCCGCCTCGTAGGTCTATCCGACGGTCAGTTCCAGCACGCGCTTGTGTGCAACAAATGGCATCGCATCGCTCGTAGCGTGCACGAGCACATCCATCTTCTCGAAGAGCATCGCATACGTCCTCGCGAGCTGCTCGCGCATCTCTCGTCATTCCCAAGGCTCCGAAAGCTCGTCCTCGCCAACGGCAGCATCACGTCCGTCCCTGACTCCCTCCTCTCGCGGATAGCCGACACGTGTCCAGATCTGACGAACCTCCACGTCGATAAGATGGAACGACAGTACAGACGCGGGGGGTTCACTGAGAAAGGTCTTTCGTATCTCTTTGAGAGATGCACGCGGCTCGAGGGGCTTTATCTTAATTGTCAGTCAAATCTGGCCGCCATTCCTTCGACAATCGGCGGCCTTGCGTCACTCAAGAGCCTGCACATCACCGACAGGGGGAGAATCGCTCTCCTTCCAGAAGCTTTCACCTCGTTACAGGCTCTCGCGCATGTCGTGATTGAAATGCATGGCCTGGATGAACTGCCTCGGAGCTTCAGCAATCTGAGGCTGCTCAAGTCGCTCCATCTGCACAGCTGCATGTGTCTCGGTTCTATTCCTGAATCTTTCGGGCAACTTACCAGCTTGACGCATCTTTCCATCAACGGTTCCCTTTCAAGGCTTCAGCTGCCCGAATCCATCTCCAACCTTTCATCCTTGCTGACCCTCGAAATTTCCAACTGCGAAGACCTTTCACCGCTGCCCGAGACTTTCGGGCACCTGCCGGCGCTTGAAACCCTACGTCTGGAGGCCGTGAGGGGAATCACCAGCCTTCCCGCCAGTCTCGGGCAGCTGCAGCGGCTGCGGCTCCTTTCCGTAATCTACTGCCGCAATATGCTCTCCATCCCTTCCTCCCTTTCCCGCCTGCCTTCTCTCACGGACCTTATCCTCCTCAACCTTCACCTCCAGCATATGTCTGTCGACATCGCTCTCCTGCCACGCCTACGCACGCTCAGGCTAGACGTTGGAATTGCCGTGCACCTGCGTCCCTCCGAATACCTCGCCACCACACTCAAGGTCCTCACGCTTCAAAGGGCTGGAACTTTACGTCCTCTGCCCGTGGAATTCGGGCAGGTGACTGCCCTGGAGTCACTGTGCTTGGTTAAGCTTCCGCAGCTCAGCAGCCTGCCCGCGTCGCTTGGCAACCTGAGGAGCCTCAAGGAGCTGAAAATAGACACATGCAGCCTGCTGACGCAGCTTCCAGACTCGCTCACTCTGCTTTCTTCCCTTGAGCTGCTGGAAATTAGTCACTGCTGCAAGCTCACGTCGCTACCACAGGGCATGGGGGATGGTCTGCGTAGCCTGCGCGGACTAATTCTCCTCGCATGCACTGCTCTCACCCACCTCCCCCCATCCTTCTCCAACCTCTCCGCCCTTGAAACCCTAAACTTCTGCCACGCACACAGCTTACGAGACGCGCTACCAGGCGGGTTCTCCCACTTGACAAGCCTCAAGGACCACTCTCTCTCCTCCCTACCGCACCTGCCCGCCCTGCCCGCCTCCCTCCCTGCCATCGCTCGCTCTCTCACCAGCCTCGTGGTCGTCAGATGCACGCAAATCGAGGCGCTGCCAGAGGAAATCGGACGGCTGGGATCGCTTGAAACGCTCCAGCTCGTCGAACTGCCCAATCTGAAGTTGCTCCCTCGGACACTGTGGCAGCTGCAGCGGTTGAAGTCTCTGGAATTGAGTTGTTGTAGCGCGCTGGAGTCTCTGTTTGGGGATGAGGAGACGGAGGATGCACACACGGGGGATGCACACACGAGGGATGCAGGGCAAGAGATTGGGGGGAGAATCACCCACCTCGAGTTAGCCAGTCATATCAATAGCAGCAGTGCCACTGGCAGCTGTGGGGGATCCGATGAGAGTGACAAGAGACTGGTCCTTCCATCCCTCGCGCACTTTAAGATTGAGAAGCTTCCCCTGCAGCTGCTCAGTCCATCGCTGGGCTCCTTCCTGTCGCTCACCAAGCTGGAAATCCTGCAAATGCATCCGCTACGCTCGCTCCCAGACTCCATCTCCCATCTCTCCCGCTTGCAGTCACTCGCGATCATGGTTGCCGAAAGCCTGTGTGCTCTGCCACAGGCAATAGGGAAGCTTTCAGCTCTCACATCCCTCCAGCTTAACTGTCTCCTGAGCTTGACTGCTCTGCCCGAGTCATTCGGGCAGCTGAAGAAGCTTCGGTCTTTGAAATTTTACAACAGCCCGGGCCTAACCAGGCTTCCCGAGTCCTTCCCTGATCTCTGCAGGCTGGAGTCGTGTTATTTGTCCGATGTCGGGATTTCTTGCCTTCCAGATGACTTCTGGAAGCTCTCTGCTTTGAAGAAACTAACTCTGGAGTCGCTGCCCGAACTCTGCAGCCTGCCCGAAACTTTTTCGCTGCTGCCCGGACCGGAGGAATTGAGCCTGTTCCGGTCCAAGCTGCTGGCGCGGTTGCCCTCGGGCCTGCAGCATATGGGGAAGCTGCTGGCATGCGTTGTCAGTGGGTGCCCGCTGCTGTCGGAAGGGAGGGTGGTGATTAAGGGTAGAGCGAACCTGGATGAGGGAGAGCGTGCAGTGGGTGGCTCAGATGACGAAGATGAGGAGGAGGAAGAGGATGAGGAGGAGGAAGAGGAGGAGGAGGAGGAAGAGGATGAGGAGGAGGAGGATAAGGAAGAGGATGAGGAGGAGGAAGAGGATGAGGGGGAGGAGGAGGAAGAGGATGAGGATGAGGAGGAAGTGGGGACAGCGGAGGAGGATGAGGGGAGTGAACTCGAAGCTGGTGAAAGGGAGGGAGAAGAGGGGAATGAAGGGGAGGGGGGAGAAGGGGAGGGGAGTGAAGGGTAGGGGAGCAGGGAAAAGATGGAGGATGGTGATCCATGGTACAGCGAACCTGGACGAGGGAGAGTATGCAGTGGGTTGCTCGGAGGAAAACCATGAAGGGGAAGTGTGGATGGGCGAGGCGGTGCCTCGGTCCCTTGGTCTCGCCCGTTTGCCTCTCCTCCACCGTTGGATCCACCAACCTCCTATCCTGTCCGTCCCCTCTTTCTCCTCCGTGCCCCTTCAATCGTGTGTCGCACGCAGCTCTCTTTGTGCTTATCCTGCCAATGGCCTTGCTCTCCTTGCCTGTCCTGACACCCACCCCCCTTTGCCTCTCTGCCCGCCTGCCTATCCTCCATTTCTTCCGTGCCTCACAGCGCTGCTCTGTCATGCTGTGCTGTCGGGTAGCTCCCATGCAAGGCTGCCGTGGTGGCACTTGTGAGGCAGCTGTCAAGGGAATTAACCCTCTCTATTGGCGACGATGAGTTGAGTCCAGGGAAAATCAAGCGGCACAATCAGAGATGAAGAGTTGGTCTTAGGAGAACAAACACCCACTATTGAGGATAGTGGTTGATAGCAGGGAACTCAGCATTTGCGATTGGGAATGGTGAGTTGATCTCAGGGGAACTAACCATCCATGCAGGTGCCCCTCAACCATCTGATGGGCGTATACCCGCACTTCCGCTTCGTCATATTCTTCCACCCTTACGTTCTTACCTCGAAAATCTCCCCCTTTCTCATTCCCACACTCCCGCTCCTCCCCTCAGGAGCCAACGACGTGCCGATGATTCAGACGGCCGCTATAGGGGTGGGCATACGAGGCCACGAGGGGAGGCAGGCAGTGATGGCGAGCGACTTTGCCATCTCGCAGTTCCGCTTCCTGGCTCGCCTGCTGCTGGTGCACGGGCACTGGAACTACCACCGCGTGGCTTACATAATCGTCTACAACAAAACACAAACACCGTCTTTGTACTTCTACTTTTCTGGTGGGTCTCAGGCGTTCTCCTGTCTTCAGTCCCTCTTAAAAGTCATTTTTTGTGTTTGTTTTTTTACTGCCTTTCGGAAGCCTTTTCTCCAGTGAACCCAGACTTCGATAGTTTACTGGAATGCTGTCTTTGTGCTGCTGACTCTCTTCTGTCATGTCCTCGTGCTGCTGCGCTCTTGGTGTGCCCCCGGCGTTTCCAACGGGGCTCGTGAGCCAGCCGCCCTGCTGAGTTATGCCAAGCATCTCTCACGCCCTCCTCACGAGCAGCCAACTTAACATTTTTATGTTTGCGACTTCTCGAAACTCTTTTGGGATGACTGGATCTGAATTCTGCTGAGCATCTGCTTTTCTCTCACGTTCTCCTCTGGATGGACTCAGCACTATGCTCTCCTCCCCATTCCTGTGAGCATGAATGGGGCTCATGAGCCAGACCACTTCCCCAAACCACTTTCCCAAACCACTTTCCCAAACCACTTTCCCAAACCACTTTCCCAGACCACTTTACCAAACCACTTTCCCAGACCACTTTCCCAAACCACTTTCCCAAACCACTTTCCCGAACCACTTTCCCAACCCACTTTCCCAAACCACTTTCCCAAACCACTTTCCCAAACCACTCTCTTAGACCACTTTCCCAAACCACTTTCCCAGACCACTTTCCCAAACCACTTTCCCAAACCACTTTCCCAAACCACTTTCCCAAACCACTTTCCCAAACCACTTTCCCTAACCACTTTCCCAGACCACTTTCCCAAACCACTTTCACAGACCACTTTCCCAAACCACTTTCCCAAACCATAGGCCATGAGCCTCATGTTCTTCCCTTTCACCTACACCACCCTCTGCCACGCTCTCCCTCTATCCATATTTTTCTCACTTCCTCTCTACAATTCTTCCTCCTCTGCCTCCCCTCCCTTCCTACAGGTACCTCTCCCAAACAGCATTCTCTACAACCACAGCCATAGGCTAACTGAGCCTCATGTTCTTCTCCCTCTCTCCTTTTCTCCATCTCTCCCTCTCTTCTCTTTCCTCCACCCCACAGGTATCTCTCCCAAACCGCATTCTCTACAACCTCAGCCATAGGCCAGCTAAGCCTCATGTTCTTCTCCCTCACCTACACAACCCTCCCCACTGTCGTCGTCGCCTCCATCGACCAAACCCTCCTGCTCGCCTGGCCGCAGCTTTACGGCGCCGGGCAGCACGAGGAAACTTACAACCTGCCCGTGTTTCTGGCTGCCATGCTGGATGCCACGTGGCAGAGCCTGGTGCTGTTTCTGGTGGGCGTGGCGAGTGTGAGTGGGCTAGACGGCGACATGTGGGCGTTGGGGCAGACGTGGTTGGTGGCGCTGGTGCTGGTGGTGACAGTGCATCTTGCGATGGACATCCGACGGTGGACGTGGCTCCACGCGGCTGCGATTGCGATCGCTATACTCGTTACAGTGGTCTCGATACTGGTTATTGACTACATCCCTCTGCTGCCTGAATATGGGTGAGTGCCCTGTGCTATGAGATTCTCTCCTTGCACCTCTGCCTCTCTTACTCTCCACCTCTCTGCCTCACTATGTTGTGTGCAACATTTCCATGCTGCTAGATTTCCCGTCAACTCTGATTCGGTACTTCTGTCTGTAAAGTACCCTCGTCCGTTGCATTTCAACATCGGGCTCTCTGCCTCCACCTGCAGGTCATTTCGATTCGCCGTTGCCACGTCAACTTTCTGGTTGGATGTGCTGTTGATGGTGGTGCTGGCGCTGCTGCCTCGCTTCTGTTCCATCCTTGTCCATCTCATTCTCAATATCTTCCTCTCCTCCCTCCCCTCCCTCCCCCACCCACCCAGGTCGTTCCGATACGCCATCGCCACGTCAACCTTCTGGTTGGATGTGCTGCTGATGGTGGTGCTGGCGCTGCTGCCGCGCTTCTGTGTCAAGGTGGCCTACCAAAAGTGGTGGCCCTCCAATATACAAATAGCATACGAGCACGAGTGTGTACATACGGATCGTCGTTCACGCTTCAATCTCTTGTAACAGTCACAATGTTTTTTATTCATTCTTTTATAACCTGTTAGAGGAAATGTCTATAAAATGTATGATCAACATGCTGTGGAACCTAGTAAATTGCGTCTTCAACCTCCGACATAGAAACAAGAAGCACAATGATGTCACCACTGCTCGAGTCGAGTCACACACATGATGTCAAGTAGCATCAGACGAGGGCGTCGTGCAGAAGGCAGGGCAGCTTGGTTGACAGGCATGCCATCGCATTGGATCAGAACGGTGCAGATGGGTGGGTCAGTGCCTGCCAGTCTTCCCTCGTGCCAACGAGCTTGATGCACCATCGCTGTTTCCGGCTGGGAGGGGGGAGGTTTGGGAGGGAGGAATGAGAAGATGGGGCGGGAGGGAGGGCAGAGTGATTCAAGGTCTTGGCACAGAATGCTGCTGGACAGCACGAGGGAGCAAAGATGAGAAGAAAGCGACGGCTCCCCACCACATGATACAATGAGTCGATGCATGCATTGAGGTGAGGAGACATGCACGCACGGAGTGATGAAAATCTCTGTGGCAGGGACATAAGAGCTTGAAACGACCTCATGACTTCCCGCATAGCATGCATTGTTTCACATGCCACACATGGAAAACAGAACAACTCCACAGTAACATACACCACCACCATGACCAGCCCCCTCCATTGTGCTCATGCCTGCAAGCACCGCCCCACAAGCGCACTGCTCACCTCCAGTGCTACGGGCATTGGCGCGCGAATCAGCAGGTGCAAGCGGGCCATTCCGGCGAGCGGCATGAGAGGCAGCTGCCGTTCCGATACGACCCTCCGTGTCTGTGCTGCGAGTGACAGTATGGCTGTTGGTGCGGGCGGCAGTGGTTCTGTTGCGGGTGGCAGTGGTGGCGGTGGCATTGGCAGTAGTGCTGTTGGAAGTGCAGGTGGAACTGGTGCCGGTGGTGCGGCAAGCACTGATTCTGTTAATTTGGGCGCCAATGGTGCCTGAGGTGTGGCCGGCAAGGGTGGTCGTAGTGCGGGCAGGAGTGGTGCTGGTGGTGCGGGCGGGACTGGTGCCGGTGCTTCGGGCGGCTGCGACGCTATTAGTGCGGGTTGCACTGGCGCTGCTGCTGCGGGCGGCAGAAGTGCCAGTGGGGGCAAAGGTGCCGGTAGTGCGGGAGGTAGTGGTGGTGGTAGTGCAGGCAGGAATGGTGCGGGTAGTACGGGCGGCGGTGGCGACTGAAATGCGAGTGGCGGCGGTGGCGGTAGAATTGGCAGCAGTGGTGCTGGTAACAAGGGTGGCAGTGGTGCCAGTGCTGTAGCCGGCAAAGGGACGGGTGGCGATGGTACCAGTAGTGCCGGCGGCAGTGGTGGCAGCGGTGGTGGTGGTGTGAGGTGCCAAAGCGGATCGGGTGGCAGCACGGGGAGCAGCTCGAGTCGTGGTGCAAGGAGCAGTGATGGCTGCTGATGCAACACGGTGTGAGGCATGGCGAGAAGAATGCGCTGTAGGACAAGAAAACGGGACAGGGCATGGGATCAATTTAGCATGAAACTGAGCATGGGAACAAGTATGGAAAGGTAGTGGAAAACAGGGCAAAGGATGGGCATGGGTTATGGCATGATGACAAGTATGTGCAATCGTATGTGAAAGACATGAATTTAAATTCCCAGGTTGTCCGGCATGATTTGATATTCGTAATTCTTGAGCTTGGCTGCGCATGCATGGAAAGGGAGACGGCTCTGGGAAAGGGCGTTGGCAAAAACGAAGCACTATATGAAAAGAGACTGTGCTCGCCACATTGCTTCAGCTTTTCGAGGCACCAAAAACTCAAAAGTTGTGACACCCATGGGATGACAAGCCGGCAACAGCAGAGCCCCTTCTCGCACCATGGTGAAAAACAGTGACACGATATAGTTTTCGTGCATCACAGCCCCTCACACTCTCTCACCTGCTCTCCCTCCTTTCTCTGCCAACCTCCCCCCTTCTCTGCCCCGCTCGCCCCTCTACCTACCAATTCTAAGCTCCCCTTCACTGCTGTCCCTTTGCCCCCCCCCCCCCACCCCCACCCCTGTCACCGGCTCTCTACCAACCTTCTGTCCCCCTCTCTGCCCTTTCCCTCCTCTTCGTCCCCTATTCTGTGCCAACTTTCCAACCCACTTCTTTGCCAGCCTCCTCTCCCCCTACCGAACAACCTTTCTTTCCTCCGTCCTTTGCAAGCTGTCCCCCATCCTCACTGCTAAACTTCCCCCTCTCTTCCACCTTCCCTCCCTTTTTCTGTCTTTTCCCCATCTCTGCCAAAGGTTTCTCTCCCCCTTCCTGCCCCTCCCGGCCCCCCTCTCCCCTCTCCAACCTCTCCTCGCCCCTCTCTGCCAACCTCTCCTTTCCTCTCTCTGCCAACCTTCCCCCCTCTATCCCAAACCCCTCTCCCCTCTCTGCCTACATGCCCTCCTCCTACCCTGCCAAGCTTCCCTCCAACCCCTCTGCCAACCCCCCCTTTGCATCTCCCGCCCTTGCAACCCTTCCCTTCCCACACTTCCATTGGAGCTGTAGGTTACCTGGGAAGGCGGAAACACGCCGCTGGGCAGTTTGAGCAGAAGTACGATGGGCTTGAGAGGACGACCCAGGATCAGCAAAGACTGTAGCTCGAACAGTGGTAGCAGCTGTGACACGAACGGCTGTAGCAGCAGTAGGAGCAGCAAGAGGTTCGTCGGCAGGAGGGGGGGCAAGAGGGTCGGCGAGAAGAGTGGCAAGAGGAGCGACAGAAAACGGAGCAGCGAGAGGAGCGACACGCGGAGCAGGAGCATGGCTGCTTGCAGCTGTGGCTGACGTTTCGGTTGCAGGCTGAAGCGCGGGAGTGGGAGGGAAAGGGCGAAAGGAAGGGAAGAAAATATGGGAACCAAAGGGGCTCACATGGACGCAATAATGGACGGATGAGATTTCGTAACTGCAGGAGTGACTTTCATGACTTTCATTCCTTAGGAAGGGCAAATGCAAGCTATCGCCAGCACGTGCTTATCACGGAATGCACTTGGGTGAATGCATCTGAGTACAAGGTATGTCCCAGCAGCACCCAGCAGTGGACAGACATGGCGAGAGCCTCAGAGCTTCTCACTGAAAGCCTCTGTAAGCAGCACTAGTGGCAAGTAAAAACATGGACTCACATGGCTGGCATGGTCACTGGTGGCAGCTTCCCCCTCATGATCCCCATTGTCCATGGCTTGCACTATCCCCTCCTCCATCCCCTCCTCAACGTCCCTTCCCTCCTCTGTCACCTCTGGTCCTGTTGCAACTGCTCTCATGTCTTTGCTGTTATATTCCTTTACTGCTGAGTAATAGTGGCCCTGCAAGAGCCACAAAGGCTAGTGAGAAGAGGTGTTGCAAAGTCGAGAGAGGGTTCCTTCGTGTTGTGCAAAACACCCCTACTCCATTATTAAATATTCCAGGCGCAAAGGTTTTGCTACCATTTGAGAGAGTGAACCATGTTACGAGGGTTGGTGGTAGGATGCACCTGCGTGCAAGTATATTGAAGCATGGGGGTCTCGGTGTCAGATTTACGCTTCATATACCAGCTGTCAGTTGTGTCCCAGACCTGTCAAACAATTCAGACAGTATTGCAACAGCACAGAAAGGAAAATAATCCAATGTAGATGGGGAAGGTTCACGTTCTTCTCTGTCGAACGATTTGAATGAATTGCATACAACAAAGAAAGGAACTGAACACACCTCGGAGGAGCAGAAACAGCAAACTTCATCCTGTATGAAGGAGCTCTCAGAATGAGAATGTTGCAACCTGATGGCAAGGAAAGGAAAGGCACTATCGTGAGAATATGGAAGCAGTAACAATTATTGAATGAAACTCATGTTTGGACCAGCATTGGTGAATACCATGCCGACCAAGGATATGTGGCATACGAATCATAGTTGACAACAGGGGCAGGATGTGAGGGCGATTGAGAAAAAGAAGCATGATGGAAGAAATGCCCTCCGCAGCGTTTGTGTGATTTTAAGTTGCTTCATCATTATTATAAAGCATCACTGGGGGAACGGGAGAGGAGAAGAGAGAAGAGCGCATGAATAATGTTCCTGGCTTGTTCGGTTTTGCATCTTGAGCCGTGATTTCCATATTCATGGCTACCCAGCGGACCTCAGACAGTGGTCAGCCATTGACCCATCGCCTTGAGGACCTCTTCTCGGTCCAGGAGGCACGAAACCCCACAGGTCGCACAAACCGGCACCACCTAGGCCCGCCTAACGGCCTGATGTTGGTCTATATAGGCTCTCATTAGATGTTTTTGCTGTATTTGCCAGCTTGCTATTCTCAAACCCCAGCCGTCCCCCAGGCCCTCCCCCCCTCCTCTCTCTCATGCCCTCACCTGCACTGCACCTGCTTGGTAGCCTTCCGCCTAGTCCATTCAAGATAAAGTTGGGCATACAACAACAAAATATTCAAACCACATTTTTGTCGCAGGACGAACCAAATTAACAAATTATCTTACCAGCTAGTACCGTTGGCCAAGTCAATATCTAGGCCTTGGGATAACACCAATCCACCGTTTTTGCGCACGCCGCCACTAGGGCAGAAGCACACAAATTTCAGGATCTTTTCACCAATGTAGGTGCTGGCGAAGCGCTGGCGTATCGATGTCACACTCGAGCTCGTCTGCTGCAACTCGGCATCCCCTGATCACACCCGGACACCAGTGAAGGAGTTTTGCGAGTGCTCTAAAGTCGACGCTATGCATCCCCTCCATGAAGAGGCGAAAATGTTGGAGGAAAAGTTCTTCAATATCTGAGACCTCAAAACCATCGGCGGCTGCGTCTGATAACCACAAAAGCTGGTTGTCATGAAGAACAGAGAGTCGCTCTCGGCAGTGCAACTGCCATAGTGACTCTTTGGCGATGCAATTGAGTGTTTTCGAAACGCACGCCATCCTCGCTATGACGCGAGGCCCCGCTGGCTCGGCGCGGCAAAGAATGGCATAGAGGAGGTCGGCGGGAAGAGATTCCATTGCGGATGAGAGCTAGGGATAGGAATGCAGAGGAAAACCCACGAAAAAGTCGCTGTGACGCTGTATTCCTACGGAATGTGACGCACTTCTGGAGGGAAGCGGTCCAAGCGGTGTAGAGTCAGCAGGAGCTCGTGGAAGCGACGACCAGACTGCGTTTTGACGGAGCCTACAGCCAGCCTGGAATGCAACTCCGTGCCTGACCACAGTAATGTGGCTCGGACTTCATCGAGGCGACGAAAGGTTCGCCACACCGCGAGAGCGCTGGCAGATTTTAGGGTCATAGAGAGCTGCGAGGCGGGAAAAGGTAGTCAATTCTCGATAGTTGCTGGGATTGCGGCTGGCTAGAGAGAGCAACACGGCGGCACTGGGAATTGCGAGCATGGAGCAGGCGGGAATTTTTTATGGAGAAGAAACCTAGGCATCTGCACTTAGGCGAAATCGTTTAGCTACTACGTGGTGTATATACAAATACGTTATTTCCATGTGGCACAAAATAGATACTAGTGTAAACAGAAAATCCTTCTACAAATCATCTCCTCCAGCTGTTTTTCTTTTCAGGAACGGGTGGGAAACAGTGTTTAGGGTAGCAGTAAATGTTACGAATAGTAATTATTGAAGCATCATTGTGCACTCCTTACCGCAGCAATCGAAACATGCACTACCGAAGCTGAAGACGAAAAGGCGGAAATGAAACGAAGGGTCGAACGGTTTTAATATATCTCAAGCATTTTACATTCACTCTGCTATTGAGGTCAAGGGCCCACCACCACCACTCAGTAGTGTGCGAACCTTCTTGAGGTGATCCTAGGGACGATCAACATCTGATCGCAGCATGGTATGAGAGCGACTCGGGAATCCTTCGCAATGCCACCTCCGAAAACTTCAATGAACGATTTTGGCGTCCGGCACACGCTCGCGCGTGAGAATGGCCGGAGGATCTGGTGGTCAGACGAATCTGACGGCTGAAGCGCAGACCAAACCGGCTGCGACAAACGAGGAAACGACGACGATTGGAACCTTTGCCCTCGCAACAACTGCTTCAGCGACTCACCAGCTTGGAGCAAGGACTCCAAACATTGCGGAATGGCGACGCGGTAACTTCTTCCCAACCCTCTCAACCGGCCTCGAACGGCCACAATACCGCCCCGCACACCACCTCCCTCGACACTAATGGCTCTGCTCCCAAAACTCCCCGTCCCAGCGAAGAGGCAATTCTCTCTGCGCAATCAAGGTTTTTGAGCATATAAAAAATAAAGACAAGTGTGTGCTTTGACGGCAGAGACTTCTATATCTGGAGCTTCGAGCTGGAAATGCTGCTGCAAAACACGTAGATTTTCCATTATTTCGACGGGAGCTACTCGGGACCCGCTGAAGAGACCGACGACGCCAAGACAAGGTACTACAACGAGTCCCTGATGGCGTACGGAGTTCTCCTGCGAAACATGTCGCCGGCGGAGCAGTTGAGCATTCGCTCATACAAAACTTCACCAGCTCCAGCCCTCGACGCTTGGCGTCACCTGAATGGTGTGTACCAACCGAAAGATTCGGTTTCATCGAGCCGCCTGCTCCAGCAGCTACTGGAGACAAAAATGGCCCCAGGGGAGAAGGCCAATAGCTACATTAATCGCTGTCGGAGCCTCCGCGATCAAATCGCGAAGTTGGGAAGCAGCATTTACGAAGAAATCTTCGTAAATATCGTGCTTCAAGGGCTTGGCCCAGAGTGGTGGCCCTGCAAGGCGCTACTCCGACAGCAGGGGGTCATCTCGGAGGCCGCCCTATGCGCCGCCCTTCTCGTCGAACGAAGGGATATGGACCAGCAGCGACCAGCGCCACGACGAGAACGGGAACGCCTCGCCTTCTACGCCGACATCACTGAAGAGCGACGGCCGCGGCGCCTCTACTGCAAGATTTGCAGAAACTTCGGGCACCTGGCAGATCGATGTAAATTCCGATCTCGCCCTCGCCAGACCAATCCGAGCAACTGGTCCGGCCGACAAGACGAAAGGAAAGAAACGCGTCCAGCCCAAGGGCATCAACCCCCATCGCACAACCTGAACCCAACGGTTCAGCATCAGCATCAGCAGCCACCGACTGCGCCCGTCCGCAACGTCATGGGCAACATGGCGATCACAAGCGGATCTCGTCGTCCCCGTGCGCGCTCACCGTCACCTGAGCCACCACGGCACCCAATCGGAGCGTTCTCGAACAACAATCCGTTCAGCACGCGCCACGACTTCACCGACGACGACGAACAGGACTGGAATCTCCCAGTCCCGCTGCTTGAGAGCCCCCCGTATGTACCTGATCAGCGGGCGGCTCCAATCGATTGGATCTAGCGCGAGCAATTCCTCAAATTTGACACACCGCACATCGTTACCCCGGGATTGGCGCTGCTCGCACGTAACGACAACAGGCGCTACAACACGTGGTACCTGGACAGCTGCTGTGGGCAGCATATGGTGGGCTCCGAGCGTTAAATATCCAACGCCGTCTCCACCCCAGCCGTGACCTACGTCACCGTGGGGAACAACACACGCCTGC